AAATAGCCATAGCAACACACAATGGGGTATAATTCCTCCCGCTCACATCAATAATGGGGTGCAATTTCTCCCAATAAGTGGGCACTATTCCTCCAACTAATACCAATGATGGAGTGCTATTTCTCCCATTAGTGACCACAGGCACTATGTACATTTTTTTACTTCCATTAAACCCCACCCTGAGACATGATTTACTCCCACTGATACCAGGACATTTTTCTGCTCCCAGTGGCCACAGTTTGGCCCCCTGAAGTCTGAAGGACAGTAAACTGGCCATTTCATGAGAAAGTTTGGAGGCTCCTGATCTAGCTGAGGGTTCTTATTCTTTGTCCACAGTGCTACATTGTTGTAACCCATTAACTGTCCATTTATAACTTCAGCAGTTCTCAGAATCTATAGAACTGTTCTGATGTCCTTTATAGTAATAACGATTTTCTTGTCACTTCATAAAAATGCATGTAATGTATAACAACTCTCCAATGCCCTTATGTTCTTACGATGAGCCCTCCGCATCTCTTGTCGTTTTGTGGTGGGGGCTCTAGTCACGGCTTCATACTGTGATTACAAAACGTGTAGAAATTGCTTCTTCAAGAGTATCTATTTTTACCAGCACTAATCAGCAGCATGTAGGTGTACAGAGCAGGATGCAGTTGCAGGCGAGGGCACAGAACATTCAGTGATGAATCGTTAAAAGCTACAGGGTGACATTCGCCTGCTGCTTTATATATTTTTTTCCACTCACACTGTTATTTACATCTTTTGCTTTCAGCTTTTAGTCATGACTTATGCTGTCCTTTTAATGAGCCGTGGGTTTCTCGGTAGCTCCTTACGATGGCGGAGGTCATGTAGGGGATTGGAGAGGGAATGACTGTAATGGCATGGATATCAGAAAATTGTAGTATGATTTGAAAAACCTTGGATTATGTGAAATACAAAAATTGCATTTGAAATACAGTACTAGAAAAAAGTTAAAGCTGAAGTCTAGTATATACAGTGTGATATTGCAGGGGATTCCACTCAAGTTTAGTGCATCCCAATGAGTTCAGTCCATGTCATAAATTTTGTCCCAGGGCTTGGCGGCCCACTTTTATTGAAATGAAACAAACAAACAAAAAAAAAAAAAACCGTTGTCCTTGCAGGGGTTCCCACCATCATTTCAAACATGAAAGGAAACATTCCCAAGCCTCCTGACACCTTCTCACAGCACAGCTGCATAGGCCTCCAGCCTAGGTCTTTTTTTTTTTTTTTTGCGCTCAAGACCGACTTACAGTACCTACTGTACTCTGCACCTCTTGCAGATCTCTGTACACTCTTCACTCAGGCTTAAGGCTCTTGTCTGTTCCCTCACAGACTTCACCGGTCCAGTGCAAACACACACCTGGCTGCTTACAGCTTCATGGACTCCTGGTGAGGGTTGGAACCATGAACTAAAGACAGGCCCCTGATTATAAAGGGAGTGCTGGTGATCTCTGGTAAGACCTGGACACAAGTATAAAGGCTTCTTCCCACTCAAAGCTCTTCAAAGCTGCAGACTCCAGACCCTGATCTGGGAATTACAAAACCTGGAGAAATCCAAAAGCTTAGTTGTCTCACTTCTGAACAGAACCTCTGGAGCCCCTCACTCTGAAACTGAGAACATTGTGTTGTCTTCAGTGCTCCTAATGCAGTGGAAGGACCTCACACCGGCACATTGGTATATACCAGGCATCCCTAAATAGCGGACCTCAGTCCGGATCCAGACCAAGTCACTGTCCCATCCTGACTGCCACAGTTCTTCCTCTCAGCTGCCGACAACACTGTCCTTTTCCTAGAGCTGACATCAAGAGACAGGTCAGTTCTGAACAGAGAGCGGGAGCTGCAGAGTTAACATTTCAAGTTAACCAACAGGTGATTGGTTGATAGGATGCAGGGCTATTCTAGCAACCTATCACAAGCTGGTTAAGAGGAACTGTCCTGCCTCTGATGTTAGCTCTAGATCTGCTGTGCCTCCCATCCTCCCCCATGTGTAAGGTAGGACAGGGAAGAGGGCTATGTCACTGCTGTGAAGGATGATGTGAAGGGAGGCTGAGGACAGGGACATTAAGATGAGGTGATATGGAGGGGGGCTGAGGACCATGATGTGAAAGGGGGGAGATATGAAGGGGGGCTGAAGACAGTGACGTGAAGGGGGAGTTGCTATGAAGGGGGGCTGAGGACAGTGATGTGAAGGGGGCTGAGGACAGTGATGTGAAGGGGGAGTTGCTATGAAGGGGGGCTGAGGACAGGACTGTGAAAGGGGGATGATGCGAAGGGGCAGTTGCTATGAAGGGGGGCTGAGGACAGTGATGTGAAGGGGGCTGAGGACAGAAATGTGATGGGGCAGTTGCTATGAAGGGGGGCTGAGGACAGTGATGTGAAGGGTGGCTGAGGACAGGAATGTGAAGGGGCAGTTGCTATGAAGGGCTGAGGACAGTGATGTGAAGGGGGCTGAGGACAGTGATGTGAAGGGGGAGTTTCTATGAAGGGGGGGCTGAGGACAGGACTGTGAAAGGGGGATGATACGAAAGGTGGCCGAGGACAGGAATGTGAAGGGGCAGTTGCTATGAAGTGGGGCTGAGGACAGTGATGTGAAGGGTGGCTGAGGACAGGAATGTGATGGGGCAGTTGCTATGAAGAGGGGCTGAAGACAGTGATGTGAAGGGTGAGTTGCTATGAAGGGGGGCTGAGGACAGTGATGTGAAGGGTGAGTTGCTTTGAAGAGGGGCTGAAGACAGTGATGTGAAGGGTGAGTTGCTATGAAGGGGGGCTGAGGACAGTGATGTGAAGGGTGAGTTGCTATGAAGAGGGGCTGAAGACAGTGATGTGAAGGGTGAGTTGCTATGAAGGGGGGCTGAGGACAGTGATGTGAAGGGGGAGTTGCTATGAAGGGGGGCTGAGGACAGGAATGTGATGGGGCAGTTGCTATGAAGGGGGGCTGAGGACAGGACTGTGAAAGGGGATGATACTAAGGGTGGCTGAGGACAGGAATGTAAAGGAGGGGGTGCATGTAGGACAGGGATATCAAGGGGGGTTGATGTGAAGGGGTGCATGAGGACCTCTATGAATTTTACTATAATATCCACGTGTATATACTGTATATATTTTTGGGGAGTTAGAGGATCAAATCCATTAGTTATGTATAACAGTGTCTCCCACTATCTGCAGGTGGCCAGATACTACCCTGAGCAGCTGCCTTCTAGCATTGTGAAGGTTGACAGCAACAGATGCTACAGAGAAGAGTTGCGCTGCTCACCTGATCACCCTGCCCACTCCACCATTCACAAAACTCCTATTACTACACTCCCACAATGCATCACATGATGTGATGATGATAGTGATATGAGAGATTTAACGAGTTAAGCTACATGCACACTGGGCGTATAGCCCCTGTGCATAAAATTCCAACGTTTAGAGCAGTATTCACCCACAGACGTTTGTCGGAAACATAGAACACTTGTGTTCCGGTCATTCATCCCTGGGTAGATACTGCCCTTCACATTGACATTACTTTGTGCAATGTCCAGGCCCAGCAGCTATTAGCCTCTCATATAGTTTTCCGGACAGCCGGCGGTGGGGCTGGGCGGTGTGCCTGCAGTTTTTACCTGCACTTAAGCACCGCAGTCCTATACACCTGAGCAAAATGCCCAGTGATCATAAGACCTAATATGGGACATTTCCCCTCACTTCATGTCCTGAGAAGACATCCTTCTTTTTTTTTTTTTATCAGACAAAGTGAAGGGATCACTTCAATGGCAGGAAAACCTGACAGGAGTTCTACTCCTCCTCCGCTCTATCAAAAATGTAAAATGTTTTGGGTATAGATACGCTTTAAGAAACAATATTACCAATGAAGTCTTGTAGTCTCATTGATTGTGTGGTGCTGTGTTTGTACTTGATGCTGTCAGAAGATCAGAATGTACCCTGTGTGTTAGTGGCATATTATGAATGGTCATTGGCGGCCTATCTGCTATACATTATTTTATATGGTGTACCAGAAACCCAATCACCGAAATCTCCTGTAATCTTTAACATGTTGATGTAATTTCAAAAGTAATTTTCAATCATTTTAAATATGTAATTTTCATTGAAATAATACCTGGTAATCCTGCTGTCTTGTAGGTGTCCTTGTTCAACACTTAGTTACGGGACAACAACATTCTTTCTGTCTGTCTTCCATTTCTTATCCAGAGTTGTCATCCTGTCCCCTTTGCTCTCAGTGAAGATTATAAGTGGCTATGCCAACGTTCACTATATGTACCACAGTCAGAGGCGTATTTACCACAAGGCAAACAAGGCATTTCTCTAGGGCTGCATTTTTCAGGGAAGCAGCATCATTTTTCAGGGGGGCAGCGCTGTCCCCCAAAAGAAGGGATGGAAGAAGGGACACGCACAGCATGGGGACCAGGTGGGATCTGAGAGAGGCTACGGGCTGCTTGATGGTGTATGTAGAGCATGACTCTTGTTACGAGATATCCAGAGCTGTGAAGGGGAGTGTCTTCTCTCTCAGCGGGGTGGGGGCAGATTGCCAGTGTATGGGGGGCGGTGGTAGTGGAAGGCTCTCTCGGGTGGGGGGGCTGGGGTGTTGTTGGTCAATGTCAAGCTCTCTTCGTGGGGGAGGGGGGTGTTGGTCGGTGTCATGGTCTCCATGGGGAAGGGGGGCAATTTTTGTGTTGCCTAAGGCAGCACGAAACCTAAATACACCCCTGACCAAAATTACCACAATCAGGAAGCCAGTCAAGAGCTATGAAGCATAGACACCACTATAGAGTGCCCGTTGTCAGGCAGTGATTGCAAAGAGGCTGGAGGAGATCAGCAGCACTAAGATACAAAAAAGGTTAAAGGAAAGAATATGAGAGCAATATTTTTTAAAGAAAAAAACATGGCAGTTGTTTGTTACACAGCACTTTGGCAAACTAAATTTCATCCAGTTATAACTATTAGCACTTGGTCTTTTATCATTCTTTTTATTCTGTGTTTTACAGCTTCAAAGAGTGAAGCCAGTGAAGGAGAAATCAGGAGACCAGTCCCCAGCCATGGAAGGGGCGGTGCAGCTTCTAAGTCGGGAGGGCCACAGCATCTCCCATAATTCAAAGCGGCACTACCATGATGCCTTTGTCTGCATGAACAGAATGCGCCAGAGAGGGCTCCTGTGTGACATTGTGCTCCATGTGGGGACCAAAGAGATCAAGGGTCACAAAGTCGTGCTGGCATCCTGTAGCCCTTACTTCCATGCTATGTTTACAAGTAAGTACTTTTCATTTCAATCCTTGTCCTGCACTGAGTCTTTGTATGTAGGTGACCATCTTTGTAGAGGAACAAGAAATTGCCTCCTGATTTCAGAGCTGTCCCCCTGATGACTGGTGATGAGGCAGTGATTAAGTAGAAGCAAGAGAGGTGCAGAAAACACAGATTCATGGAATCAGGGCCAGCGCTACCACTAGGCAGCCACCTAAGATGCAGCCACGGCTGCTGGTGTTCCTCCTCTCTCCCCCTGGCTGCTCCCACTCCCTCCTCCTCTCCCCGGTCCCCCATGTAACTTCTCTCTTCTGTTTCTCTGTCCCTTGGTTAGCTGCCTCTGGCCGTAGTGCAGTCCCGGAGCCACAGCGCTGTATTCTGTACACAGTCTGTCCCTATTGCACCCAATCATAGTCACCACTCCCTTCCCTGAGTGAAAGGGATGGGTGAGGAGCTGTCAGCCAGTCGAGTTCCTGGGAGTGGATTGGCTGAGTGCTGGTAGCCACACACCCCCTAGCCCCACTTCCTGCACACGCAGAGCAATACAGATAGAGCTGTCAGTGTATGCTGCCTGTGCTGGGACCTATAGAGAGCTGGGACCCTGGTGAGACACTGTGGATGCATGCTGACTGCCCTGCTTCCCCTGGATGGGGCCTGCTCATGGTGCTGCTGATCTATTCTCTGGCTCTGACAGGTTATATAGTAAGTGACCGCACCCAGCTCTGACCAGGGACAGGAGCACTTCCAGCAGGGACAGGGAGGGGGAAGGGTGCATGCCACCTGCACCCAGGGCTGGCCCTGCCTCTGATCTACCTTACAGGGTCACTAGATCCCTTTTAATTTGCTGTTCACAGGCTAGTAAAGGTTTAGGATGAGTCTTACACAACTACCCCCTTCTTGCTCTTTGCAGTCCTGGGTGTGGGTTTCCAAGGGGGGGTCCCTTCTGTGCTGGTAGGTCATGGAGTCCTTGCAGGTTGGGCCCAGCATGGAAAGGTGGTGCCAGGCACCATTTGCTGGAGCGGGATCCGAAGGAGGAAATGGGCACTGGACAGGGTCTTCTCCCAGCCCAATCTTTGCTGCTCTGGGGCTGACGCCTTACCCTACAAGGACCCTTGTAGCAGTCCCAGCAGCATCGCCAGTTTAGTTTTACTTTTTTTTTTTTTTCTTTTTAATTTTGAAGTTTATTTTTTGGCAGGGGGGGGGGGGGGGTAAGTAGTTGGTCTTGCCTATGTTGCAAAATAGTCTAGCACCGGCCCTGAACGGAATGATTTAATGAGTAGCAGGGAGATCTTTGTACTATATGTCCTCCGTTACATCTTCCTCTCCAGCATGGAGAACAATGAGCAGCACAGTAGTGACATTACCAGATTTCAGTACAGTCCTTTAGATGGTTTCACACCACAGATATACAGTAATGAGACTGAAGGTCTTACATAAGTTTGGAAGAGCTCTGCTGTTTTTCCCAGAGAAATTCAAGGTAAATGCTACATTTATTTAGGATACTGTTTATGTAAATTAGAAAGCATATTTTCACATTTTAAGTTAAGCTCCACTTTAAGGCCTGATCAGGTGATGATCTCTTGACTGGGGGTCATGTAAATTCCTCTGGCCAACCAATCTTGTGGCAATGTTGATTAGATCAGAAAACTTGCCCCAATTGGTATTGTTCCCAGCCCACAGGAAGAATGGCACCAGTACCATCTGCTTAGTCTGCAAATTACTTCCTCCTCCTCCCTATTCTTTCTAGTGACATAAACAGAAAGGTTCAGCTGTTCATCCTTCCTGTTCATGGGATGCTGTGCTTTCACATATGCCAAAGGGTGGTCTGCAATGGGGCTTATGTCCCATGTCTGAGCACCTATAGATTGCAGACCCATCCTGATGTTTAAAACCTTGGCATTCTTACACAAACTGCTGGCTTTATTTATTTAATATATAGTGCTTTTAAAATCTCGAATGCACAAGTGTTTTGCAGCGTCATGCCTACCTGCATTTATTTAGGCACTAAAAATTGTATTTCATGGTTGTCACCTACATTTTATAACCTGCAGCTAATGCCCTCATTGGAACTAGTGAGATATTTTTACAGTGGTTGTAAAGGCTTTATTTTGTTTTTTTTTTTCATAAGATGTTATATTTACTTGCTCTGTGAATTGGTATTGCTCAGAGAATCCCTTGAATCTCCTTTTCTCAGGTTCCCCGTCGGCTCTTTTGGATCCATATCCTTTTGGTGCACCAGTTTTGGAAGCCACTTGTGATGGGGGCACACCTGCAAGCATGAGCCAGACTGTGTGTGCTATTGACACAGGTTAGCCAGGCTATTGACTCCGCATAACACCCCCCACTCTCTGGTCACACAATGTGATTGACAGCAGCAGTAGCCAGTAGCTCCTACTGCTTCCTCTGTGAACAGAGAGAGAGCGGAAAGAGCCACTGAAGACGTGCACAGCTCTGGATCAAGATAGGATGCTGTAAAGTATACAGGATGTGATACAAATACTGGGCCATTTTTTACCTTAATGCAGTGAATTAATGACCAGCATTTGACAGAACTTTAATCTGAATGTCAGTTGTGGCTGCTGCTGGATAAAGTTGTTTGCAATACAGAAGCACTTATAGGTACAGTGGATATAAAAAGTCTACACAACCCTGTTGAAATGTCTGCTTTCTGTGATATAAAAAAATTAGACAAAGATAAATCATTTCAGAACTTTTTCCATCTTTAATGTGACCTATAAACTGTACAACTCAGTTGAACAACAAACTGAAATCTTTTAGGTGGAGGGAAGTAAAAATAAAAAACTAAAATAATATGGTTGCATAAGTGTGCACACCCTTAAACTAATACTTTGTTGAAGCACCTTTTGATTTGATTACAGCACTGAGTCTATCACCATGGCACATCTTGACTTGGCAATATTTGCCCGCTCTTCCTTGCAAAAGCACTCCAAATCTGTCAGATTGCAAGGGTATCTCCTGTGCACAGCCCTCCTCAGATCACCCCACAGATTTTTGATCAGATTCAGGGCTGGGCTCTGGCTGGGCCATTCCAAAACTTGAATCTTCTTCTGGTGAAGCCATTCCTGTGTTGATTTGGATGTATGCTTTGGGTTGTCATGCTGAAAGATGAAGTTCCTCCTCTTTATGTTCAGCTTTCTAGCAGAAACCTGCAGGTTTTGTGCCAATATTGACTGGTATTTGGAACTGTTCATAATTCCCTCTACCTTGACTAAGGCCCCACTTCCAGCTGAAGAAAAAACACCCCAAAGCATGATACTGCCACCACTGTTTCACTGTGGGTATGGTGTTCTTTTTGGTGATGTGCAGTGTTGTTTTTGCGCCAAACATATCTTTTGGAATTATCGCCAAAAAGTTCAACCTTGGTTTCATCAGACCATAACACATTTTCCCACATGCTTTTGGAAGACTTCAGATGTGCAAACTTTAGCCAGGCTTGGATGTTTTTCTTCTTCATAAGAAAAGACTTCCATCTTGCCACTCTACCCCATAGCACAGACATATGAAGAATATGGAAGATTGTTGTCACACGTACCACACAGCCAGTACTTGCTAGATATTCCTGCAGATCCTTTAATGCTGCTGTAGAGTTAAAAAAAACTCTCTAGCAATATGCACCAAACTGAGCATGTGCAGCTTGCCCCCAAGGCTCTGTTCTATCAGAAGATGGATTGGGGACAGTAGAAGGGGAGGATCAGAGAAGACAGGATCAAACATCCTTTTTACACAATGTGGAGGGTTAACCCCTTACGTTCCATAGTGAGTATAACGAGCATGCTTTGCTGCATATAAAGACTGATTTTACTGTTGTGGGTTTAGTAACACTTTAAGCAGATGTAGATACAATCACAAGAATCTAATATATTCTTAACATTGTTAATGTAATCTTAAAATTCACATTCATTCTTTTAAATCTTCATTCTTTTAAAAAACCTGATTATCCTCCCATCAAGGCTCTTGTTTAGGATCATCCTACTGTGGGATGACAATGCCCTATTCCTGTCACCCAGAAGCTCTCTTACATTGTCACCCTGACACATGTGCTTCTAGTGGAGACTCTAGGAAGTAGTGTTGGGCACACTGTGCAGCCATAATTTACATTCAGTAAGCCTGAGCAATGACATGCAACCATCGCTTGGGTGCATGCACAGACAAGAAGTGGCTGCAAAGAGGCTGCAGAATGTCAACAGTGCTGAGATGGATGAATGAATGACAACAAAAACATGTTAAATGTTTCATACATGGCATGTTAGGAGAATAAATGCCATCCAGTTATAGTTTAGATCTTTCTTAAAGAGACACTTTAGGACTGGTTCACACTAGTGCGATTTCAGATGAGACTTGAGTTGCGTAGAATCGCAAGGGAAATCACACTGTTTTCAATGGTGTCCATTCACATCCATGTGACTCAGCACAGAGATTTGGAAAAGGTTCCTGTACTACTTTGGTGCAATTCCAGTGCGATTCCAGCCCCATAGGATATACAAACCTTATCAAAGTTGCATCCAAGTAGTACTTTATAGTCGCACTGAAAGTAGGATCGAAATTGTATCTCAGCAATGTGAACCTAGCCTTATTTAAATGTTAATGTTCAGCTGTTTTGCTGACCACACTATCGATCTTCACTCTGATGCAGGAGTATCACTGCCTAAACAGTCTTCTGCATCTGTCATTTTGTAAGCTTCAGATGCCTGTTCTCCCTCTGCGCACTGTGGTTCCTCTCACTGACTGCTGTGTCACTACAGAAAGCAGTGAGGACATAGACTGCCAGAAGGAAATACCATGCTCAGGGAGTAACACGGTAACACATTTCTGGGTGAAGATTGGCAGCAGTTGAGTTTGAAGATTACCATCACAGACAGCAAGATAGGGGAGTATTAGCTGTGTTTTTTTAACAGGCATCATCAGGGGCGAACTGACAACTCATGGGGCCCCCGGGCAATAGGGGATCATGGGGCCCCTGTGTCCTTGCCCAAACTCAAAAAAGCTTT